GTGAATAGTGGAAGATTGGCGATTTTGGCCACTAGTTGCCTATTGGCGATTTTAGCCACTAGTGGCCGATTGGCGATTTTGGCCACTTGTGGAAGACTGGCGATTTTGGCCACTAATGGCCGATTGGCGATTTTGGCCACTAGTGGCCTATTGGCGATTTTGGCCAACAGTTGCCGATTGGCTATTTTGGCTACTACTGGAGGATTGGCACTTTTGGCCACAAGAAGCCGATTGGCGATTTTGGCCACCGGTTGGAGATTGACCATCTCGGTCACTACTGGCAGATTAGTGAATTTGGCCACTAGTGGAAATTGGGGATTTCAGCCACTAGTAGAAAACTGGCCATTTTGGCCACTAGTAGCAGATTGACGATTTTGGCCACTAGTGGAAGACTGGCGATTTTGGCCACTGGTGGAAGAATGGCCATTTTGGCCATCGGTTGCGGATTGGTGATTTAAACCACTAGTGGAAGATGATTTATTTTGGCCACTAGTTGAAGATTGGCGATTTTGGCCACTAGTAGCCTATTGGCCATTTTGGCCACTAGCGAAAGACTGGCAATTTCTGCCACTTGTGGAAGATTTCCGATTTTGGCCACTAGTGGCGGATTGGTGATTTAGACCACTAGTGGAAGATTGGTGATTTTGGCCACTAGTGGAAGATTTGCGATTTTGGCCACTAGTGGAAGATTGGCGATTTTGGCCACTTGTTGCAGCTTGGTTGGTTTGTCTAGTAGTGACAGATCGGCGATTTTGGCTACTTGGGGAAGATCGGTGATTTTGGCCACTAGTGGCAGATTGGTGATTTAGGCCACTGCTGGAAAATTGGAAATTTTGCCACAAGTGGTAGATTAGTAATTTTGGCCACTAGTGGAAGATTGGTGATTTTGGCCAGTAGTGGCAGAGTGGCGATTTTGGCCACTAGTAGAAGATTGGTGACTTTGGTCAGTAGTGGAAGATTGGCGATTTTTGCCACTAGTGGCCGATTGATGATTTAGACAACTTGTGGAAGATTGTTGAGCTTGGCCACTAGTGGAAGATTGGCGATTTTGGCCACTAGTGGAAGATTGGCGATTTTGGTCACTAGTGGTAGATTGGTGATTTTGGCCAGTAGTGGAAGATTGGCGATTTTGGTCACTAGTGGTAGATTGGTGATTTTGGCCAGTAGTGGAAGATTGGCGATTTTGGCCACTAGTGGCAGATTGGCGGTTTCGGCCACCAGTGGAAGATTGGTGTTTTTGGTCACTAGTGGTAGATTGGCGATCTCGGCCACTAGTGACAGATTAGTGATTTTGGCCATTAGTGGAAGATTCGTGATTTAGAGAACTAGTGGGAAATTGGCGATTTTGGTCATTAGTGGTGGATTGACGATTTATGTAGTTGTGGTAGATTGACGATTTTGACCACTAGTGGCAGATTAACGATTTTAGCTTGTAGTGGCAGATTGGCAATTTTGGCCACTAGTAGCTGATTGTTGATTTTGGCCACAAGTGGCCGATGGACGGTGTTGGCCACAAGTGGCCGATTTGCAATTATAGTCAGTGAGATTAGTGATTTTGGCTACTAGTGGAAGATTGGTGATTTAGACCACTAGTGGAAGATTGGTGATTTTGGTCACTCATAGTGGGAGATTGGCGATTTTGGCCACCAGTGGAAGATTGGTGATTTTGGCCACTAGTCGAAGATTTGATGATTTCGGCGACTAGTGGAAGATTGGTGACTCTCGCCACTAGTGGCAGATTGGCGATTTTGGCGACTAGTGGAAGATTGGTGATTTTGGCCACTAGTGGAAAATTGGCGAATTTGGCCACTAGTGGCAGATTATTTATTTTGGACGGTGTTGGCCACTAGTCGCCGATTTGCAATTAGAGCCACTAGTGGTGGACTTGGGATTTTTGCCACTATTGGCCGATATTTCTACAAGTGGCTGATTTGCAGTTTTGCCAAACAGTTGGAGATTTAGAATTTTTGCCACTAGTGGCCGATTTACGACTTTAGCCACCAGTGGCCGATTTGCGATTTCGGCCACTAGTGGCCAATTGGTGATTTTGGCCACTAGTGACCTATTGGCGATTTTGGCCACTGGTGCCTGTTATGCGATTTTGGCCACTAGCGGTCGATTGGTGATTTTGGCCACTAGTGGCTGATTGGCGATCTTGGCCACTAATGACCAATTTGCGATTTTGGCCTACAGCGGCCAATTGGTGATTTTTGAGACTAGTGGCAGATTGACGATTTTTGCTACTAGTGGCGGATTTTTAATTTTCGGCGATTGGTGATTTTAGCCACTAGTCGCCGACTTGCCATTTCGGCTAGTGTTGGCCGATTAACGATTTTGGCCACAAACCGGCGAGATTGTAGTCTCCCTTGTAGCTCTTTCCAGCGTCGTTACGCAAGCGAAAACTCCCCCACCAACGGCTGCTCACATTCGAACAACATTCCTTTCCCATTGTAATGTGTTATCCAATCAAAATAAAGTTATTGTCTCACAAACAACCAATGAACACGCGATATATTTATTCCCGCGAATTCACAGGAAGCGCGTTAGCGTTAGTTCCTAAAGATGGAATCTGATGTCCTCGAAACTCCGAAGAAAATATCAGATAATGATCGCTGTTTTATTTGCCCAAATCCTGTGGGCAAATTTATAAAAACATCTCTTCTCTCTTCTATAATTACTGTTATCCGTTCTCTCTGATGGGTAATCAAGCTCTCAATACCAAAAGTATCTCGCACTAAGTCGAAAGCGTCTTCATTTTGTCAGTTTCAACGCTCGGATAATACGAACTCTGTGATTGCTTTGATTATTGAGGCGCGAACGCTTTCCAGAATAAGGTAAGTAAATGCTGATTGGCCAATTTCCGGAAAGGAATGTTGTTCGAATGTGAGCAGCCGTTAGTGGGGGAGTTTTCGCTTGCGTGACGACGCCGGAAAGGGCTGCAAGGGAGACTAGGGAGATTGGTGATGTTGGCAAGTAGTGGCATATTAACACTTTTGGCCAATAGTGGTCGAGCTGCGATTTTGGCCACGAGTGGCCGATTTGTGATTTTGGCTAATTGTGGCCGATTGGCGGTTTGGGTTATTAGTGGCTGGTTTGCGATTTTGGCCACTAGTGGGCGACTGGGGCTTTTGTTGCTGTTTAGTAAATGAGTCTGCGCTCCTTTTTCGGAAATGGAGCCATTTTTGGAAACTGAGACCATGACTCAGGGTACCCTTTCCAGGATTAGTCACGTAGATGACCTTAAAAAAATTGATTGTTTCTTACAGAATAGTAATCCATGCATTAATTCCTAAAACTCAATTTTCACTCTCTTTTCTACAAGATTACAGGCATCCAGCCCAATCTTTTTTTTGTAAGTGGTGAAAACCGTGCAGTGCATGAAGATTCCTTACTAACACTTGTCATCACGTGTATTCTGTTGGGTCACGTCGATGACATTAAATACACCAGCGAAACTTTTCTCGCCTTTCCTTTGTGACGAATATAAAGATCACAAAGAACTAAACTTTTTGAGCAACTAAAGTGAATTTGCTCTCCATGGAGATTTAAGTAAAAACAATTTTTATCAACACTTTCCATAATTCAAAGACAGCGTTAAAGAGGTATTTCCTTTATCAGGGTAAAGAAATAACCCAGCTACTCGATATATTTTTAGCTTCCTCTTTGGTACGCAGCCAAGGTTGCGGAAGAGGTTGTAATTAACCTTGCCCAGGGGCGCGTTATATTAAGATTTGTTTTATCTCCTCTGGATAATTTTCGTCTTTATTTTCTTGGCCCGCACTTTTGCAGTAGACTTCAATGAGTGGCAAAAGTAATTGGATCACCGTCTCATACCAGGTGGTTTCAAGAGATTATAAACTCTTGGGCCGTTGACTACTCCTCTACTCAACTCATTACAACAGAATTATTGTTATTCATCCTAGTAAGTTACTTGTTAGTCCTCATTTTTCCCTAAACAATGTTTCCCGAAATTAGTCAGAATTTAATTTGTTAACATCAGGCATCATTGAAACGGGGGTTAAGGGGAGACAAAAGAAGTCATATTTTCTTAGGGGAGATATATGAAGGTTATATATTCTTTTTAGTAAAAAGTAGTCGAGCGTGCCAAGACTTTTGTCGCTCTCTGTAGCTCCAGGTCAGATCACAGTTGAAATAAATCGTTTGCCTGACGTACTATTCACTTTCAAACCAAGCTTGAACCTTAAATTCGAATCTTCAACGTCTTCTTATGAGTGAGGAGGCCACGTTTCGATTGCGTGTCCTTTAAACATCATCCCGGAAGTCTTTGCTTTTCAAAGCTTCCTGTTCTCTTGTAACGATTGTGACGCAAGCCAGAGAGAGATGTCCTTATTTGGTACTCTATAAAACCAACAAACAAAAGGCATGGAAAAGATAAACGACTTCTTCGCTGTTAGCGAGTCACGGAGCCGACAGGAAATCATCCAGTGAGCACATACTGAGATGATTTTGCTAAACTAATGATACAACTTTAACGCTACTACATTTTTTGACTGGCAACATTGTATAGAAAAAAGTTAATTTGGCAACAGATATGAGAATATCGAGAATGTGTAATAAATGGTTTACGGCTTTGCTCGAGGGCAAAATCTCTCTTTGAGGCTCCTAGGGGGTGTGGTGGGGGGACAAAATGATCCAGCTAAATGTAACGTCAATCCTCTAAACAAGTATCTATTGCCGTGCAGTTTGCATCTTCCTCAAACTCAGACGGATATAAATCGCGGTGTCGAGCGAACCGAAAATTTTTGGCACAAGCTACGAGGAAAGCCTTCAATAAATGTTCTTATTTCTACACACTTCCATCGACTTCCTCTTTGTGGTTTATGGTTTTTGTGGCCCAGTGGAAACCGAGCAAGAACAACAAAAGATCGATTGAATTTTTTTCTTTTCTGCTCTCTCAGTGATATAGAAGGGGGTCGGATTACGACCTTGACTTTTAAAAAATATTAGATAGGAATCTCCTGTTTTGTGTTCTTACAGACCAACTGTCCAACATGTCGTGCAGCCTTCTAATTAATCATAAGAGGGCAAAACAACAAGTAAACCAGCAGAAGGAAAACTTATTGCGGATCAGGTTTGAACCTATTTTAAAGGAAATCCCATACGTTTGGATCTTAGCTTCAGTGCGCATTTTTAAGTCGTTCGGAACAATGCGGATTACTGTTTTCAAGCGCACTCCGATGTTAATTCTCTGTACGTCTCGCCTTAATTGCACATTGCATCATGAAATATCTCACTCCGTTAATGTAGTGTAATATTCTGGACCATTCTGAGTTGCCTTCATGACACAAATTACTGCGATGAAGTACGTAGGTTACCTTACAGTCGCTAATCCTTTTCCTCTGATTTAAAATAGGGTGTTAGCAGATGCCTGCTGAAAGAAAGACAATTCAAAGAAATTGAGGCCGTCACCGCGGTAGAAAATTCTCGTAATTGTACCGAGGGTTCTTCAGCTCTCTATGTGGTAATTAGACCAAAGCTTTTATGTCTTGAATTTGACATGGCTCATTACAAAATTTAGGATAAAAATAAAAGCCATAAAGGCTAAACTTAATTCACTGATGAGTAGAGTTGAGTCTCAAAATCAAACGTCTATGGCAATTACTTCTAGCTTCGGGCGTGATTTTCGTAAAGGGCATTTTTACCAAAACGGAATTGTATAGCTGTTTAATGATCAATTACCTTAAAATAGCCAACAGGAACCAAGGGCCCGTTTCTTGAAGGAGCTGGTAATTTAACGGGCCCGTTAAGCTGTTCTGCTTTCTTTCAAGATAGGGTTTTAAAACGTTTTGAACATTATACGATAAATTTATCAACTAAAGAAACAAAATGGACTGGTTAGGGTGCTAGAACCTGCCCTTCTATTCTTGAAAATTTTGATTTTAAGATATGGCCTTGGGCCCATTAAGTTACCGAGACTTTCGAGAAACGGACCCCAAGGCTGTTAAATCACATCCTAAATTAGTAAGTTTTACAATAAGTGAAAGCTTAGCCAAAACTTTACTAGACAATAAGACATTTATCCCGGATACAGGAGAGAAAACAAGTTTTGAATTCTGGTCTAAAGCCAGACGAGGTTGTATCGGGTTTTACATTTATCCAATTTTGCAAATCGTTTTTATCTTTTTACTCTCCACGAAGAAGCTCATTCAAAGGTCAAATTACTTTCCGAGGTTTTGCTCTGTTCAAACTTTTCCTTCATCGGTGTTCATTTCATAATTTACTTTGGCAATTTTGATAATTTAGTCTTCACAATGTGATAACATCAAAACTCAAGGCTGTCAGCATGAGACGATTCAGTAATATATACATATATATATAGCTTGAATTTTATTTTGATCCAATTTCTTTGATACCTCCGGGAAGGATTTTGGTTTTAAATTTGCCGTCATTTTGTCCCTCTTCAGTCAATGAACAGGAATTATAAGCAAAGCCATGTGGAGTCTAATAGACAAATATTAGTTTTGGCATCGGTCCACTAACACCAATACCTCTTGAACATGCTTTACTAAGAAAAGTCAAGTGCCTCTCCAAGTGTTGAAAATTCCAGATGCCACCAAATGTTTCATTGCATGTAGTATTCCACGCCTTGTGATTCGACCTCTTGTCCCAAACGAGAAGAGAAAATGGAATTTCGGCCTTCTGCATAGAACTTTCCGGCACTGCAAAAATAAAGGGAATATTGGTCATGGGTAACTTTATTGATTTAATAATAATTTGAGAAACATCTTAAAATGAGCATTATTTAGTTTTCGCTTCTGCCCCGCTCTATCCTTGCAGAGAAGAAAGGGGTGTAGGTATGTGTAGGACTTTGTGGGAGGGGGGAGGATGGAGTAATGTTACCGGGAAACGGGATCTCAAAAAGTAGAGGGTCTGAAATGATTTTCAAAATGACTCTTAAATACAGATAAGCTAATGGAAGTAGTTATTTAGCCATCGAGATCATCCCCACGTACGACGCCATATTCTCCCCTAGTCCCACACTCTATTATTGAAGTAAATAGAATCATACCAATTTTCAGGCTAGTCACTTCTTGCTCGCAGTAAGAATATTCTCGAGCTCCTTTCTTTTCTTTTTTCAATGAGTAATATTTACTTACGTTTTGTCATACGGTCTAATAAAATCCTCCAGGGTGATGAAAATAAGCCGGAAATAAGAACTGCTAAGCGGCCGGAAACGGAAGGGAGTTCAAGGAGATGATCTTGGATACGAATCAAATCCACCGCACTGCAGATATCCTTGTAGCTTAACTCGGTTATAAAGCTGCCAAAGTATTGAAACTCAGCAAATTCCTTTCGCGTGAATCTAAAAGAACACAGGATTATTGGCAAAGGGCTAAACTACCAACAGAAATAGAGCTACCGTGACTACGAAACCCTTTAACTTGAAACGTAATAGGACTGTGAAGACCCCGAGGTAAGTTGTGGACATTTATACTGAGGATTGCGCTCATGGTTTTTTCTTTTCGTTTAAGTTTCATGAAAAAAATTATATACTCATAAAAACACCGTGCGAAGCACGAAGAACTTTTACTGACCGTGTGTAACAATTTACACTGTTCCATTCATGAACTGTATGAGTAAATTGATAAATTGACGTTGCGGTTATTGTTTATCATTTGTTATCAATGCAGATACTCTAGTTCGTATGAGCAAGGAATTTTTCTTTTCTAAACGGCCGATTTCTGTTTTTGACATTATGGTCGACTTCCGATTGTTTTCATCAAAGCTATTCCCCGTGATTTTGATTAAGCTGCTATTGCGCAAAGTTGGCTTTATTAGTTTGTGTATAACAAAGATCATCTGCTCGTGATTTTGTGTTAATTGTTGAGGCTATAATTAGCCCCATTTCAATTACTGTTCATCTAGAACATGTCATTTTCATCGTGAAACGAGACATGCTCAGAGTATTCACAGAATGATCCGACGCAGTTCTTTCAAATTTTTCATAACCAATTGATCACGTTCGCCAAATAACTACAACACAATATTAATGGCAATGAGTTTTTCATCATCGCGTTTTATTTGTTGATGGAAAACAAAAAGGGGGATATCTGTTCAAGCAATTGTCTCGCTTATCACTTCACACGTAGCTAACTACTTGAAAACCCCAACTAACCTGGAGGCCAGGGTCACGCTAAATGTCACGTACGGCAACCACGATGTCACGTAAGGGTCTCTTGCGACCCTAGGTGCGACCCTCTAAAAATTAATTGAGATATATTAGGTGCTTCACGACTCACTTCCAAAATCCAATTTTCACCTATTCGTTTGACAGACTTAGCAGCTGTCAGTAGCAGGAGTAAGTGGTGAAAGTACTGACTTGCTGTGCGCACATCCGTATACCTCAGTAACGTTAACCCTTGGTTGGGTCACGTCGATGACATTAAATGCACCCGTGAAACTTTTCCCGCATTTTCTGTGAAAGGAAAACAAAGATAAAAATGAAATCTTTCGAAGCAGTCACAAAAGCGATTTTAAAAAATCAAATGCAAAGAAGGTTGTTAAACTTTGGTTAATCATGGTATAAGCATTCTTGAAACGTGCTCGAGTAGCAGAACATATTGCTAGTTCGAGTTCCGGTCGGATTTGTCATACAATCCTTTTGGTGGCAAACCGGCTGAACACCGTTGAATATCTCAAATGGCATATGATGAAATAAGTGAACCAACTCACATGACTTCTCCTCCACTGATGTAAAGCGTTTAATATTGTCTCCTTCATGACTAGAGGAGCGTTCACTAGAAGCGTACCTTATGTACGCTTCTAGTGAACGTACATAAGGTAAATTCCATTCGTAATCACCACCATTTATCAACTAAGCAAACTAATCTAAACTAAGAGAAAAAAAAAAAAAAAAGAACTACGCGGAACTTGACTCAATTTAAAAAAAAAAATTGGACGATGAAAGAATATACCTTCACCGGGAACTCCAAAGCAAGGGACTCCTGCTGAACTTCATTAGAATAAGACCGTTTGAATGTGGGAATTTGGGTTTTAAAAAGAAAAGGTTTGGCGAAGTTGGACCTAAATGTACTGTATCTGTCTTCTCTGATGATTCAACCTTAGCTTTTTTAGCCTGAGCGAACTGTTGAAATAAATACTTTAAATAAGACAAATATTATCCGGCAACGCCAGATCTGCTTTTCGCATGGGATCATAATGGGTTTAGTAGCTCCAGAAATATCTTTTTCCAGCCTAAGATTGCCTTTGCACTCACAGCAATTCACAGAAGTGAATTTGGTAGTGAAAATTGTAGGTTCTAGTGTTGTGAAAACAGCACTGATAAGAGTAATTTTTATACATCTTCCCATGACAATGTGCAAGAAGATACGTAGCAACAACTTTTTGTCACCGGCTAAGTCTGACGCCTGAGTTGAAGGATCGTGATTTAATCAACGCACGTAACATTAAATCCTTCTCGTTTAATTTCTTTTCCCGAACACTGCTTTTATTTTATACATCGCAAGCAATTGAGCGAATAATTAAATGAGGGAGCACAGGGAACGGCGGTAGAAGTACATTATAGTGTTTCATCAGCACGGCTGTTGTCAATAGAAGGCTACCGGTGTTGAAAGTCCTAATTGAGTCGTTCACAGCTTTTTCTTTTTGTAAAAGAAACCGCGTTTGAATTACTCTTGAATTAACTTGGGCGTCGCTAAAGTGTCACGAGTTGTCTTCAAAAAATTGAAGCACTGTAAGTAATGGCTATCAAAGTCAAAAATACATTTCTTAGTTTAGTTCTGAATAAAAGCGACCTGGTGAAAGGTTAAACGAATTTAAGAACTGAACTACGTCCCGGCTACGAGGATGTAACTTCTTGTTAATTAGAGCACATTTTAAAGACCTCCGACGCTTACGTTTTATTTATTTATTAATTTTTGGGGGAATGGCATTGTAACATTTACAGACCAAATACAGCTAGGGGATTTTTTTCTCTGACATGGCGACTCCAAGTCAAGGCAAGTGACTGGCTGTGTTTCTTTCCATTTAGAGCCTTGGTTCGTCTTGAACAGCGGTGATAAGAAAGTTTGCACGCGAAAGTGGGCGTGTAAGCTAAGACGGCACGTGGTGTCAACAGTTTGTCAGTGAAAAGATCGCCGTATTTTGTTAAATTTCCTCATGCTTTGTCCGAAATGGTTAAAAAAATTTCACATAAGTCACACCTCATCAGTATTTTTGCAGCCGGCTTTGCATCAAATTAGGAGAGGAATTTTATTTTCATTGTTTGTATTACGTAATAAGACTAAGTGGTTTATAAGAAAATAGATCACAATTCGCCCCATAAATAACACCGTGTTTTACAATGATGATCTACGAAAATTTTTAGCCAAGGGTTTTTTCAACATTCCAACTAATCCTCGACATTTTGAGCAGGGAAAAGTGCACTGTTTGACTGTTTTCAAAGCAGGCTTTACCACATTTTTTTAACAATGTTCATAATCGTATAGTTTCTTCAGCCAGCCATGAGTGCTTTGAATTGAGCGTAAGCTTAGTTTCACATTACTGGTTGATTAAGATGCTTTCCAAGTTCTATTACGAAAAGGAAAAAAAATTAGGTCATTTGATGCGAACAATTGTTTCCGGAAAATTTCGCGGGCACGTTTAAGTTCGTTATCTACATTCTCAACTATAGGAATTTCAAATACCCAATTCTTCATCTTTGTAAGACTGTTTACTGCTGTCACCCTGTAAGCCACATCAGGACCGCTTATCGCCTTTAAGGACAAAGTCCATTTGTGCAAAATTTGTTTATTGCATGTTAAGATCTGAAATAAGAGTTAGAAAGAGAGCGTTATTTTGTTCTCTCTCTCAGTTATTAAATACTTTCTCTTGTTTTTCCTTCGTGGTCGTCAACTGGGAATGTACTGCCGGAATATGCTATGGTATTGCAATGAAATATCATATTAGAACTAGCATAAGCACGTTTAAAATGAATCGCATTTCTTCTCATCGAACCATTTGGATCGCTTCCATTTTTATAACAATTGATTCCATTGTTACGTCACGTTACTCTGAGTTATGCACTTGAGAGACAGTTATGTCTATTTTGTTGATAATTTCAGCGTGATTCTATAAATTTCACCGCACGAAATCGCAACTTTTAATAGCGCAGTGTAATTGTCATTTGTTAATCTTGTTTTCATACCAAAGACGCTGAGAGATGCATGATATTTAAAGAAAAGCAGATTTTGGTTCACTTAACTTGAAAATGGGATGCAAGTGTTTTAAGCTCAACAAAGCATCCGGAATTAAGTACCCTAAATGTCAAAATATGACGTCAGCTGTGTGCCTTTATTTTGATGCTAACCCAAATATAGAAGTAAACTGCAAAGCTCTCGTAGTTATATTTCAGCAAGATGTCAATACTATTCCTAAAAATTAAACTGTGTTTGAAACGGGGCTTAGTGTGTCAGCTTTAGATAACTACAAAAGAAAGAGTAATCTCTTTCTTTTGAAACCAAAGATTCGCTCCCTCGTCGCGGTTTAACCTTTAACCTAGACATATGTTGCGGGAAGATAGTTTTTCACCCTCGAACAACATCACTTTAATGACCGATCATCGGCGGCTTGGCATTTCTCCCACCTCAGAGAAGCACGGCGTTTTCCTCCGAGTTGCACTGAGTCACACAGGTAAGCGCGTTCTGCATCATTTGAATGCTACATGTTTTTCTTCTGGATAGTTTAGATGGCCATCTGTCAGCATGTGCGTGAAGTAAAAAGTTAGTGCACTAACGGTGAGATCATAATCGCAGCTCCATACGAAGTATGTATGTTTGTGTACGTGTGATGAAACTTAAGCTAGCGTGCGTTACCCTTCAACCGAAACTGGAAATACATTTTCGTTTGCACTAGAACTACAGCTAATTTTTAGACAATGATTGACGTTTTGCCTAAAGAGAGTCTTAAAAATAAGCAACAAATGCAAGCGGCTGTTAAAAACCTGTGAAGTGTGACTTACTGATGTTGGAGACTTTCCCTGTCTGTTACCCATGGCAAGCTTCAGTACGTTCAGTATATATGGCGCCAAAATTTAGCTTGGTTTTTATGCGAAACAGATGTTATCGATTGCAGCAAGAATAAGACCTTAGTTGGAATTTATCTAATCTGGGACGGAAAATTTGAGGAACTATGAGAAAATCGAGAACAATTCGGCACACTGCTCGCGTCTTTGTGTGCTGGTAACGAGTGTTTCACTTCCATTTATGCACAAGCACATAAATTGATTTAGTTACAATGAAATAACCAAGGTCGAGTAGGGGATAAACGAACAATCAAATATGGATCAAGGTTTCGATTAGAATTCCAGACAATAACCTTTCTTCTTCCAGAAAAGCCGGCCTCTTTTTTCAGTAACACCCAACCCCTGGACATTCACAGGTGCCCTTGGATAAACTTAAGAGGCGTTTTTCGGTA